AAAAGCTTTTATTGTGGCATAGAACATGTCCAATTTGTTAACTGTTTCATGGATGTTTAAGATGAACATGTATTCTCTGTCTATAGAATTCAAAACTTTACGTGTCTGTTAATTAACTTAGCCTCATCACTTATATTGTTCAGATTTGTGTGTTATTTAATTGTAGCCTACCTATCTCCCAAAACGTCAAGACTCAATAAGATTATGTTGGTATGATCATGTTTGTTCAATATATTTTTATAATCTATTTATTCAACAGCAGTGTAATTTGATGCATTTAAGTGAGCATTGTTGTGTCTTTGCCAATTAAATAATACATGTAAAACACCAAGCACAGTGCCAGGCATATAGTAGGCACTCAATAAACATTAGTTCAAACCTGGTTCTGAATCCTTTTCCAAATATAAAATGTTGTCTTTAACCAATTTCGTCCTTTGCCTTAAAATTTACCTTGTCTAATACTGGTCGATATTACCATCCTGATCTTCTCAAATTCTTCTATGTGTGTGAGGTTTGCTAGAGAAATTAGCAGGGAGACGTATGGGATTAACTCTTCATTCCTCTCAGGCTGACTGCATCCAAAAAGCAATTAGTCCTTAAAAGAAAAAAACGCAGGCCTTGACTGTTAACATTTGTTGGAATTTAATTAATTGCAAATAAGAGAAACTCAACGCAAATGAGCTTAAACAAAAAAATTTAACTATTCATTCATGATACACCAAATTTTGGGATGAAATTGGCTTCATGCATAGTTGGTTCTGGGAACCCAAAAACATCATTGGGGCTTTTCCTCTGCATTGACTTCACAGTTGTGTCCCCGTCTGACCTCCCTCTTTCCTTCCCACATGGCTGGGGGATGGCTACCACCAGCCCTGCAATCACCTCACATGACAAATGGAGGGACATGGCAGATTCTTATGACACACTTGCAGCTCCCATCCCTGCTTTGCTACTGGGACAGGAGTCTTGAAATAAGAGGCAGAGAATACAGCCACTGCAAAGGCCTTGAGGCAGAAACAGACTGTGCAAGTAACAGGAGGAGAATGAACCATGCAGGGCAAAACTGGAAGCAGGGACATGAATGTGGAGACTGCCTTAGATGTTCGATCAAGAGGGGATCATGTGGGGACTGAGTGGTTTGTGACTAGTCGGGCAGTGTGACACGTCTTATCAATTTTCTGAGATATCAAAAATAATCATGATAGTAACAGAAATTGTATTAACAGCGTTCATTTGGGCTCTCTCATGTGCCAAGGAACCTCATTTCATTGATGATAGCAGTATCCACCCAAGCCCTTGGTGTTCTGTTCTACACCCAAGAGCCAGGCAGATCCCATTAGAACATAAGGCTATTCAAAATCCTCCCACTTCACTGGGTGAAAGCCAAAGTTCCCCCAATGGCCATCCAGCTTGACTGGCACTGCTTCCACTCCCATCCCTCCTTCTCTTGCTCTCTCCACCCAGCCAAATTGGCCTCCTTGCTGTTTCTCAAATATGTCCATTATGCACATTACTCAGGACTTTTGCACTGGCTGTTTCCTCCGCCTGGAATGCTCTTCTGGGAGAAGCTCACATGGCTCCCTCACCTGCATCAGGTCTCAAATAAAACCTCCTCAGAGAGGCCTCCCATGACCACTCCTAAGGAGCCCTACTCTCCACAGGTCATGCTTGTCTTTAGGCTTGTATCGCCATCTGACAAACTATAGGTTAATGTAGTTCCTGTCTTGCATCCTCAGTGGCCATTCGTGCTCCTTTGGTGGCTCTCCGTGGAGTCCTGTGAAGGTGGAATTGGGGAAGGAAGGGGCTGTGGAGTTCTGGTTGTGCCTCCCAGGAACTCGTCGCCCGTCCACACCAGCTTGTGGGATCCCCACCCTATCCTACCTCCTATCCCATGTGCTTGAAGCTGCTCTGTCCCTTCCTCAGTCACAACATCTTGACCCTGGGAGGTATGGGGGTATAGTATCTGGGGAATATGGTGGAGAGGGAAATAAGTTAAATAAGTTGGCAAATACAGCAAATCTAAAATCATAGGGAAATAACTGGGACATCTCTCTAGCCAGTCAATGTGGCCTGTGGCTTGTCATTCTAGTTATGTAACTGCCTACTCCGAGGTCGGGCAATTCCGATTATGCGAGTGATGGTTTGGGGTGACGGAATGTTAATAGGTTTGCTGCACACTGCCACCAGGGGGGCGACTTATGTATCCCGCAGTCTGGGGTTCATTGAATGCCAATTCCTCGGCATTTTCATCTTATCTGCTAATCTTTAAATTTCAAAAGCTCTGAAACAAATATTTTTTGGTAACTCCTCCCGAGGCTCAGTTCCTTCTGCAGCTGTAGAGACTCAGGGTAGACTCTAACCTTCTGGGCGCCGTCCTCTGTCTACAGCAGGAGTGATTCGGAGCAGATTCTGGACACCCCCTAGCGCCCATCCCTGCTCCACCTCAGGGACAGAAGCTCACTGCCTGCCAGTAAGTCAACACCCAAGACAGTGCCTGAACAGTGATGTCATAATCTCCAAGTGGAAACACCTCACCTCGGATACAGCCCAGCACCTGCACACTTGGAGAGGGGCGCGAGCCACCTTGTGTCTACACACTCTGACTAGGTTTACTCTCTTGAAGTCCTGGGGGAAGGGTTCAGTGGACCTGCCTAAGGACCCGCCAGTTCTGGGGCTGGGGGTGGGGAGTGTCTGACCCGCCTTTCTGCTGAGAGCCTGTTTCTCTTGCTTTTTTGGGTGATCATACTCTACCCTATGACTGTAAACTAGGGTCACACTTCACTCATTCATTTGTTCACCTGGCATTTCCTGAGCACCTTCTGTGTGCTGAGGCCTGGGCTGGATGAATTTGGATCAGAGGGAGGAACCATAAGTGCGTGGTCTCTCACTCTGAGTGGCGCTAAGCCTGGTGATGGGGATGTTCAACTATTCATCCAGTCACCGAGCATTTCTTAAGGACCTACTATGTGCTGAGGCCAAGGCTAGGAGTATGGGTCACAAGAAGGAACCAGAATGAGTGGTTCCTGACCTTGCGGGGCTCCAGGGCTGGTGCTGAGAATGTTCACTTATTCATTCACTTACTTGGCATCTTCTAAGGACCTACTGTGTACCAGGCCTGGGCTGGGCAATGTATGGGGCATAGGAACTGGGTGGTCCTTATCCCTGAATGACTCCAGGGTTGGTGCTGGAGATATACGACTATTCATTGTCACCGATAATTCTTGAGGACCTACTGTATTCTGAGGCCTGGGTGATATCCAGAGATCAGGACAGAACCAACTCCGTGGTCCCTGGCCCTGAGGACCACCAGGGCCAAGTCAGGGTCTTTTCACCTATTCATTTATTAGCCTGACATTTCCGGAGGTCCTACTATGTGCCAAGGCCTGTGTAGGCAATGCCAGAACAGAGATGAAAAAGAAAATATGACTACGGATTGGACACTGGATGATATTAAGAAATTACTAATTTCGTTATGTTTAGTAATGGTATGGTGGTTATATAAAAGATATCTTTTTTTTCTTAGAGATTCAAGGTAAAGTACTTAGCAGTGAAGGGAGATTACATCTGTAATTTATTTTTAAATAGACCAGGAAAATAGATATTTTCATGAACTATTTTAAAAGGAAATAAATTGTAAAATATGGTAAACTTAGTAAATTTTTTAACTATTGTATTTTTATTAAAATTACGGTTTTCAAAAAATAGTATTCAGTGTGAGTGGATACATATATATATGAGCTTTTATTATCTTTATACTTTTCTGTATAATTGAAAAATATTGTTACAAAATTTTAAAATGTGGTGTGTTCTTTTCCTATGCAGAAGGGACCTATGTTGTCCTATGACACAGGACAATTTATTGGTCAACCTTGTAAGAAAAGCATTCTTCTAACTGAAAAATACTTTTCAGGGATTTTTTTTTTTCTGGAGCCAATTGAGTCACAGAGCAAGACCAAAACAATCATAAATTATTCTATTACATAAGAAATCTTATGCCTATACTTCATAAAGGAATAACATCTAACCCACTGTCTACTAACACAAGTTGTCTCAGAACAAAAAATAATGACAAACAGCTACACAGAAAAACGTGAGTACCATATGATACCACTTGTGTAGAAAGGTTTGCTATATATCTTTCCAGCATATTCTACATACAAACAAATATTCATATATATATATATATATATTATACACACACACATACATACAGTAAGTGATTGTTTCTAGTGAAAGGAACTTGGTAGCAAGGGGACACAAGATTTTTGTTTACTTTATAAATTGTCGACCACATGGATGTATTTTATTTCCATAATTTTGTCAAGATTCTAGTTTTGGAAAGTTATGTGATTGTAACTTTCATTTCACCATTGTAGTAAGTGGGCTGCATTAATGATTCTCACTTTCACTCTTCCCTCCAGAGACACTCCTGCACAGGCTCTGCCTACACTGCTCCTGGGCTTGGCCATAAGGCTTGCTTTGGCCAATGGGCCTAGATGCAAACTTGACAATATCAGAAGCTTGAAACTATACTTGTGTGTGTCTACTCTCTCTCAGACCCTTGCTACCACCCTGAGAACACAGCCAGGTTAGATGTGAGTCACCAGGAGGAGAGATGAATTGGCCCAGCAGAGCCTCCTGGACTATGCAGCCCCCGTCTTAGCTGATTGCAGATGCATAAGTGAGTCCAGCCAAGACCAACCAAGCCTGGTTCAGACCAACAGAACCACCCAGCTGATCTGGAGATGCATAAGAAATATTCAATGGACAACTGGGTTCTGAATGATTTGTAACACAGAAAGGGCTATTTAATGCAACTATTAGTCAGGTTTTTTTAGATTTTGGGGAAAAAAAGCTGGGGTGGCAGTGGTGTTTCCTCATATTGTAAAATGACTGGCTCCACTCTAAAAATCCTTCTTTGCAGATGTGTCAGGGGAGAGGCATTTCCTTCTTCTAGAACAACTCTTCCTGCTCTAGATTTCTCCTGCTCATTTTCTCTAGGCACTGTTTGTATCTTAGCAGATCCAGATTTCTTCTTCAGACCCTGCTCCTTTAGTAAATATGCCAACTTCAGCAACCTGTTATTCCTTTCTATTCAATTAAATGTATTAAGCAAGTGCCTACTCAATCATAAAATTAATAATTAGAAGGCCAGCCAGAGACCCACAGGTATTTTTGTGGGTCTACTTACCCATGCCACATTTATAATACCAGGGAGGTAGTGGAGGGGAGTCTGGCAGGTGTTGGGTCCAGCCCCAGCCTTGAGTCTTCCTTGCTGTGTGACCTCAGGTAAGTTACTGAGCTTCTCTGAGCCTTGGTTTCCTCACAAGCAGCATAGGGATGACACAGTCATCTGCTATATCTCCACCATAGTGTCATGAGGTTGGGAATGGGGCGTAAAAATGCCTAGTGGAATGCCTAGTATGTAACAGGCCCGGTACACCTCAGCTCTTCTGCTGGTCCACACAGGTTTCTGCAAGGTCACCACTGTGACCAGGCTTCTCCTCCCTGTGAGAGCCCAGGTGTTGAGTCAGGTGTGGGAGCTGAGCAGAGGTGTCCCCACACTGGCCACTCGAGTACTGCTTCTTGTCTGCATGTGTCCTCTGGTGTCGGATGAGGGTTGAGGAATAGCTGAAGGCCTTGCCACAGGCACTGCACTCGTAGGGCTTCTCCCGGGTATGAATGATGTGGTGCTGGTTCAAGTGGGAGCGGCTGCTGAAGGCCTTGCCACACTCGTGACATGTGTAGGGCCGCTCGCCCGTGTGCGTGCGCTGATGCAGCGTGAGGGACCAGCCCCGGCTGAAGGCCTTGCCACAGGCACTGCACTTATAGGGCTTCTCCCCAGTATGAATAATGTGGTGCCGGATCAGATGGGAGTGGTTGCTGAAGGCCTCGCCGCACTCCTGGCAGGTGTAGGGCCGCTCGCCAGTGTGCGTGCGCTGATGCCGCGTGAGGGACGAGCCCTCCATGAAGGCCTTGCCACACTCGCTGCACTTGTAGGGCCGCTCGCCTGTGTGTGTTCGCTGATGCCGCGTGAGGGACGAGCCTCGGATGAAGGCCTTGCCGCACTCTTGGCAGGTGTAGGGCCGCTCACCTTGGCAGGTGTAGGGCTGCTCGCCTCTGTGCGTGCGCTGATGCTGTGCGAGGGTAGAGGCCCGGCTGAAGGCCTTGCCGCAGCTACTGCAATCGTAGGGCTTCTCCCCGGTATGAATGATGTGGTGCCGGATCAGGTAGGAGCGGTTGCTGAAGGACTTGCCGCACTCATGGCAGGTGTAGGGCCGCTCCCCTGTGTGCGTGCGCTGATGCAGCGTGAGGGACGAGCCCTGAATGAAGGCCTTGCCGCACTCGCTGCACTTGTAGGGCCGCTCTGTGGTGTGGATCTTCTGGTGATCTATGAGGGACGACACGTAACTGAAGGTGGCCCCGCACTGCAGGCACTTGTAGGGCCTCTCCCCAGTGTGTATGATGTGGTGCTGGATGAGGTGTGAGCGGTTGCTGAAGCGCTTGCCACAGTCCCGGCACGCGTAGGGCCTCTCACCCGTGTGCATGCGCTGGTGCTGTGTTAGGTAGGACACCCGTGTGAAGGCCTTGGCGCACTGGCCGCACACATAGGGCTTCTCACCTGTGTGTGAGCGCTGGTGCAGGGTCAGGTGTACACTCTGTCTGAAGGCCATGCCGCACTCGGGGCACGCAAACGGCTTCTCCCCAGTGTGGATTCTTTGGTGCAAGATGATTGAGGAGCAGTAGCTGAAGGCCTTCCCACAGTCCTTGCATTTCCACCTCTTCTTGTGGCTGCCAGCTTTCTCCAGCTCGCCGGCCTTCACATGCTTCTGCTTGGGGCTCTTCCTTGGCGTGCAGCTCCTCTGGGGCCTGCTGTCCCCAGGGAACACTGCTTGGGTAGCAGCAGGATTCAATGTGGTTCTTGGGGTTTGGCTGAGTTCATTGAGTTCCTGGATGCAGTTCTCTGCAGGGTCTCCCTTGTGGGCCATCGCTTCTGGCTTTAGACAGCTATCCTGGTTTTCCTGTGGGTCCTCAAACCCACCACGGTGTTTCCAGGTTTCTCCCAACTCGGAGCCCTAGAGGGAGATGCTCAAAAATCCCTCCATCCTTGCTTTCTGAGCTGTTCCCTTGATCTCACATCTCTCTGGATCTGAAACGAAGTAAAGAAAGAAAGAAAAAAAAAAATACCAAACAGGTTTGTCATTTGCCCTGAGCTGGAAAAAGGGTTAACAGCTGGTCTGAGAAGGACTACTGACATTTGGGGTGAGGTAAGTGTCATAGGGCCCATCCTGCGTTTTCTGGGATGTTGAGTAGCAGCATCTCTAGTCATCACACACTGGATGCCAGGAGGACCCCGCCACCCTCCCCAATGTGACAATCAAAACTATCTGAAGACATTGCCAAGTGTTCCCTGGGGACAAAATTGCCTCTGGGTGGGAGTCACTGATTTAATGGAACTGAAAACAATTTAAAGACATCCCTGCAAAAAACCACGAATAAATCAGCTCTTAAATAGAGACTTCTAATCTGGTGCAATGGACTAAAAATCATGTTTCCCCCACTCCCCCCAAATTCATACCTTCAAGTCCTAACCCCCAAGGTGATGCTACTTGGAGGTAGGGCCTTTGGAAAGTGACTAGATTTAGATAAGGTTATGAGAGAGTGGGAACCCCACAATGGGATTAATGTCTTTATAAGAGGAAGAAACTACCAGAGCTCACTCTCTCTGCCAAGTGAGAACACAATAAGAAGGCAGCTGTCTGCAACCAGATGAGAGCCCTCACCAGAACCCAAATATGCTGGCATCCTGATCTCAGCCTTCTAGCCTCTAGAACCACGAGGAAATATGCGACCCCTCCACCCTCCCCAATGTGACAATCAAAACTATCTGCAGACATTGCCAAGTGTTCCCTGGGGACAAAATTGCCTCTGGGTGGGAGTCACTGATTTAATGGAACTGAAAACAATTTAAAGACATCCCTGCAAAAAACCCCGAATAAATCAGCTCTTAAACAGAGACGTCTAATCTGGTGCAATGGACTAAACCATGTTTCCCCCACTCCCCCCAAATTCATACCTTCAAGTCCTAATCCCCAAGGTGATGCTACTTGGAGGTAGGGCCTTTGGAAGGTGACTAGATTTAGATAAGGTTATGAGAGAGTGGGAACCCCACAATGGGATTAATGTCTTTATAAGAGGAAGAAACTACCAGAGCTCACTCTCTCTGCCAAGTGAGAACACAATAAGAAGGCAGCTGTCTGCAACCAGATGAGAGCCCTCACCAGAACCCAAATATGCTGGCATCCTGATCTCAGCCTTCTAGCCTCTAGAACCACGAGGAAATATGCATAAATATGTCCACTGTTTAAGTATCCCAGTCTGTTGTACTTTGTTATAGCAGATGGAGCTGACTAAGATATCAGGAAAGATAGTTGGAAAAAACAATCAGTTCACTTCTTACACAGAGGAAAAAGCAGCCTCCAAATTCCTTGCCAAATATACTGGTGGTGGGAGTGCACATTAGGAAAACCAGCTTCGAAGACTGTTTGACATTTCCTAGGAAAGCTGAAGACACACATCCCCGATCGCCCAGTAATCACATACCCTTGAATACAAGCCAGAGAAATGTGCACACGTGTGTCCCAGAAGGCCTGTCCAGGACTGCTCATACATACTAGAATCAATCCTGCTGTCTGTCAACAAGGGAATGGAGAAATAAAAGGGGGCATAATCATACAAGGAAATATCTCACAGCAGTAAACACCAATGACCGACTGTCTGCTACTGCATCAGCTCAGAACCTAAATACACAGAATTGACCAGAAAGGTGAGATGCAAAAGAAANGTGACCAGGCTTCTCCTCCCTGTGAGAGCCCAGGTGTTGAGTCAGGTGTGGGAGCTGAGCAAAGGTGTCCCCACACTGGCCACACGAGTAGTGCTTCTTGTCTGCGTGTGTCCTCTGGTGTCGGATGAGGGTTGAGGAATAGCTGAAGGCCTTGCCGCAGGCACTGCACTCGTAGGGCTTCTCCCGGGTATGAATGATGTGGTGCTGGTTCAAGTGGGAGCGACTGCTGAAGGCCTTGCCACACTCATGGCAGGTGTAGGGCCGCTCGCCCGTGTGCGTGCGCTGATGCAGCGTGAGGGACCAGCCCCAGCTGAAGGCCTTGCCGCAGGCACTGCACTTATAGGGCTTCTCCCCAGTATGAATGATGCGGTGCTGGTTCAGGAGGGAGCGGCTGCTGAACGCATGACCGCACTCCTGGCAGGTGTAGGGCCGCTCGCCAGTGTGCGTGCGCTGATGCCGTGTGAGGGATGAGCCCTCGATGAAGGCCTTGCCACACTCGCTGCACTTGTAGGGCCGCTCGCCTGTGTGCGTTCGCTGATGCCGCATGAGGGACGAGCCCCAGAAGAAGGCCTTGCCACACTCTTGGCAGGTGTAGCGCCGCTCACCTTGGCAGGTGTAGGGCTGCTCGCCTCTGTGCGTGCGCTGATGCTGTGCGAGGGTAGAGGCCCGGCTGAAGGCCTTGCCGCAGCTACTGCAATCGTAGGGCTTTTCCCCGGTATGAATGATGTGGTGCCGGATCAGGTAGGAGCGGTTGCTGAAGGACTTGCCGCACTCATGGCAGGTGTAGGGCCGCTCCCCTGTGTGCGTGCGCTGATGCAGCGTGAGGGACGAGCCCTGAATGAAGGCCTTGCCGCACTCGCTGCACTTGTAGGGCCGCTCTGTGGTGTGGATCTTCTGGTGATCTATGAGGGACGACACGTAACTGAAGGTGGCCCCGCACTGCAGGCACTTGTAGGGACTCTCCCCGGTATGTATGATGTGGTGCTGGATGAGGTGTGAGCGGTTGCTGAAGCGCTTGCCACAGTCCCGGCACACGTAGGGCCGCTCGCCCGTGTGCGTGCCCTGATGTCGCGTGAGGGACGAGCCTCGGCTGAAGGCCTTGCCACAGGCACTGCACTTGTAGGGCTTCTCCCCAGTATGAATGATGTGGTGCTGGAGCAGGTGGGAGCGGCTGCTGAAGGCCTCGCCGCACTCATGGCAGGTGTAGGGCCGCTCGCCTGTGTGCGTGCGCTGATGCCGCGTGAGGGAGGAGCCCCGGCTGAAGGCCTTGCCGCACTCGCTGCACTTGTAGGGCTTCTCCCCAGTATGAATGATGTGGTGACGGATCAGGTGGGAACGGTTGCTGAAGGCCTTGCTGCACTCACTGCACTTGTAGGGCCGCTCGCCTGTGTGCGTGCGCTGGTGCAGGGTCAGGTGTACACTCTGTCTGAAGGTCATGCCGCACTCGGGGCACGCAAACGGCTTCTCCCCGGTGTGGATTCTTTGGTGCAAGATGATTGAGGAGCAGTAGCTGAAGGCCTTCCCACAGTCCTTGCATTTCCACTTCTTCTTGAGGCTGCCAGCTTTTGCCCCCTCGCCGGCCTTTGCATGCTTGTGGGTCTGTCATCCTCTCTAGAGCTGTTTTCCATGATAACTGTGGTGGTGTGTGTGGTTGTGTAAGTCCTCCCTCCAGTCAAGATGAGTCATGAGCTCAGACCCCGGGGACTGAGTGTGCAGGTGTTAAGCAGTGTTTGGGGTTAGGACAGTGAGAAATGACTCCTCGGGTGATGACCAGGGGACAAGAGAGGGCTCCAGGGAGATGAGGGAGGTAAGACTGAATCTTCATCACCTTAGTCTGCCCTCTGATGTTCTCCTGCTTTTTTGGACATTGGCATCATCTGTGGTCCTTATGGGCCCCTGGGAAAGCCCAGCTCACGCAGTCCTGGGGGAAGCCAGGGTAGAGGCCGCCCTGAGGTGACCCATGGTGGAAGAGCATGGAGTGGTTCACCTGACCATGTTGGTGGCCTTGGACAATTCCCTTAACCCAGGTTTCTCAACCACAGAACTCTTGACATTTTGGGATGGAAAATTCTTTGTTGTAGGGGCTTTCCTGTGCTTGTAGAATGTTTGACAGCATCCCTGGCCTCTACCCACTAATGCCAATAGCATCCTCCCCTCCCCACCTTATGACAACCAAAAATGTCTCTAGACATTGCCAAGTGTTCCCTGGGGACAAAATTGCCTCTGGGTGGGAGTCACTGATTTAATGGAACTGAAAACAATTTAAAGACATCCCTGCAAAAAACCACGAATAAATCAGCTCTTAAATAGAGACTTCTAATCTGGTGCAATGGACTAAAAATCATGTTTCCCCCACTCCCCCCAAATTCATACCTTCAAGTCCTAACCCCCAAGGTGATGCTACTTGGAGGTAGGGCCTTTGGAAAGTGACTAGATTTAGATAAGGTTATGAGAGAGTGGGAACCCCACAATGGGATTAATGTCTTTATAAGAGGAAGAAACTACCAGAGCTCACTCTCTCTGCCAAGTGAGAACACAATAAGAAGGCAGCTGTCTGCAACCAGATGAGAGCCCTCACCAGAACCCAAATATGCTGGCATCCTGATCTCAGCCTTCTAGCCTCTAGAACCACGAGGAAATATGCATAAATATGTCCACTGTTTAAGTATCCCAGTCTGTTGTACTTTGTTATAGCAGATGGAGCTGACTAAGATATCAGGAAAGACAGTTGGAGCAAACAATCAGTTCACTTCGTACACAGAGGAAAATGCAGCCTCCAAATTCCTTGCCAAATATACTGGTGGTGGGAGTGCACATTAGGAAAACCAGCTTCGAAGACTGTTTGACATTTCCTAGGAAAGCTGAAGACACACATCCCCGATCGCCCAGTAATCACATACCCTTGAATACAAGCCAGAGAAATGTGCACACGTGTGTCCCAGAAAGCCTGTCCAGGACTGCTCATACATACTAGAATCAATCCTGCTGTCTGTCAACAAGGGAATGGAGAAATAAAAGGGGGCATAATCATACAAGGAAATATCTCACAGCAGTAAACACCAATGACCGACTGTCTGCTACTGCATCAGCTCAGAACCTAAATACACAGAATTGACCAGAAAGGTGAGATGCAAAAGAAATCTCTCAGATATGATGGTATTTAGGCTTAAAACACGCAAAATTAAACCATTTGTTCTTTAGGGATTACAGACATTTGTGGCAAAGGTTCATAAAGGTAAGTGTGGGAATGATACAGCACTGAATTCAGAGTCGTTTCCTCTTGGAGGTGGGAGGGGGATGAAGGAGAATGGAATTTGGGAGGGGTGTCCAGGAAGCTCTGGTGATAGGAAAATGTTTTCTATTTAAGCTGGAGTCGGGTATGTGGGTACTGGTGTATTTTTCTATAATGTTTTTTATATGTCCCAAAACAATTCATCATAAGCTAAAAACTCAGTGCCCCAGAACACACAGGAAAAATCCTGAGGGTTAGTTTTTTCTACCCAAAGCTTTTCAATTTCGTAAGTTTCTTCCATTTTATCTTTTAAAAAATCAACATTTCCCACCTTACCTGGCAAACAATTGGTTATTTGCTAAACTGTGCTTTTTCTGAATGAGATATTTCAACAATGGGATCTGTACCTGTGTCCAGGATCCCCATGACCACCTCCATGTTGAATGACTTGCAAGGAGGACTCACAGGACTCAGCCTATAGTTGTACTGATGGCTATGACACATATTACATGGAAGAAACACAAAGCATCATTAGCAAACAGAAAAGGCACATGGGGACAAAGTCAGGAGGAAACCAGGTTCACCTCACAGGAGNAAAATGTTTTCTTTATAAGCTGGAGTTGGGTATGTGGGTACTGGTGTATTTTTCTATAATGTTTTTTATATGTCCCAAAACATTTCATCATAAACTAAAAACTCAGTGCCCCAGAACACACAGGAATAATCCTGAGGGTTAGTTTTTTCTACCCAAAGCTTTTCAATTTCATAAGTTTCTTCCACATTGTCTTTTAAAAAATCAACATTTCGGGCCGACCCCGTGGTGCACTCGGGAGAGTGCGGGCACTCGGAGCGCAGCGACGGGTTCAGATTCTATATAGGAATGGCCGGTGTGCTCGCTGGCTGAGCGTGGTGCGGGCGACACCACACCAAGGCTTGCGATCCCCTTACCAGTCACGAAAAAGACAAAAAAAAAAAAAAAAATCAACATTTCCCACGTTACCTGGCAAACAATTGGTTATTTGCTAAACTGCTTTTTCTGAATGAGATATTTCAACAATGGGATCTGTACCTGTGTCCAGGATCCCCAAGACCACCTCCACGTTGAATGACTTGCAAGGAGGACTCACAGGACTCAGCCTATAGTTGTACTGATGGCTATGACACATATTACATGGAAGAAACACAAAGCATCATCAGCAAACAGAAAAGGCACATGGGGACAAAGTCAGGAGGAAACCAGGTTCACCTCACAGGAGCACGCCACCAGTAGTCACACAGGACACGCCAAATTCCCTAGAGGGATCCTGTTATTAAAACTTAAGGCAGACTGTGTCCCTCCTCTACTGAAATGCCTCTCACAGCCCCAGCTCATTTGGAGGGAAAGCCAAAGTCCTTACAGCAGCTGAGAAGCCCTGCTGGTCTCCCCTCCCTCCCTCCCATTCTCCCTTCCTCTCTCACCTCCAGGCCTTTGTACAGACTATTCCCTTTGCCTAGAATAGACCCTGCTCTTAATCCCTCCCCCTGCTCCCATCACCCCAGGCCTGGCGGACACCCCCATATATCTTCAGAACCCTTGGTCTGGCTCACATGGCTCAGTGGGCTAGGCAGTGAGAATGGCTCGAATAACTTGGCCATCAAAGTCTCTAAGCCCCAGACCCTGCAGGCTCCATGTATACCCGTGAAGAGGCAGGCAGAGACTGTACTGATGCAGCCACAAGCCAAGGAGACACGACGGGTTGGCAAGAACCTGTTTCCTAATAAGGTCACAGTCACAGGTACCCAGGGTTAGGACTTCAATATATCTTTTTGGGGGGACACAATTGAACCAATACTGTTATGGGGTTCCCTTCTGTCTGTGTGTGTCTTCTTCTCTTCTTACAAGGACACTAGTCACTGGGTTCAGGGCCTACCCTTTCTCATCTTAACTAATTCATTTGCAAAAACCCTATTTCCAAATAAGGTCACATTCCAAGGTGCCCAGGTTGCCATAGCATGAATGTGTGCTTCCCTCCCTGCCCCCAAATTCATGTTGAAACTCTAATCCCCATGTGATGCTGTTTGGAAGTGGGGCCTTTGGGAGGTCATTAGGTCACCCTCATTAATGGGATTTGTGCCTTTCCTTTACAAGGAAAGACACCAGAGAGCTTGTTTCTGCCATGTGACGACACAGCAAGACGGCACCATCTATGGACCAGAAAGCAGATCCTCACCAGGAACCAAATCTGCTGGTGCCTTGATCTTGGACTTCCAGCCTCTGGAACAGTAACAAGTAAATTCCTGTTGTTTGGGCCACGCAGTTTGTATATTTTGTTATAGCAGCCTGGGATAAAACACAGGTGAGCACACGTTTTGGGTGGATACTATTCAACTCACTGCACCCCCCGTTGTTACAGGGCTCAGGTGAAGCTGGCTGCCTGGGGTTTCCCAGGCTTAGGGTTAAATTCTGGCCCCTGGACTCAGGGTCCTTCCTGGAGATGGTGATCTGACCCCAGGCCGCTGCAAGTCACCCAGTCTGTGTTTTGCACGTTCTCAGTGGAGAATGGGGATCTGTTTTTACATGACTCCAGGAAATCATTGTCTTTTCTTTTTTAAAGCCCTAAAGGAAGTTATACATTTAATTATCTCCAACGGGGCTGTGGAGGCTGAAGGATTTACACTAACTCTACAGTTTGCGTTGGACCCATACGCCAAATAGCAACTCAGCACCAACTTCCAATACTTCAGTTGTAACAAAACGGGAAGACAGATGGACAAATGCCTTCCTGTCTCCAAGAAAGGGAGGAAGGCAGCTGTGTGGGATTTCGTCGGTGATGAAGCTGGGTCCAGAGATGTGGGTTCACACCCCAGTGGGGTTCTTTTCGAGCCAGTGGCTGCAAGTCAGTGGCTACCTGGCTCTGAATCTCCAGTCTCCCCTCCTCCTCCGAGAGCAACTGTGGGAGGCTGGGCTCCCCGGCACACAGGTGTTCCCTGAACTGGCCAGCAGGCTGCTGTGGGTACAGCAGACTGTGCTGAGGGTTGGGCTAAGTCCTCTGGGGTGGGTAGGCTAACTGGGGCCCTCTCTGGTTCCCCCTAGGAGTAAAGAGCTACC